CCAGTGAACCCGGTGTACATTCTAATGACACTTCTCCCGTCTTTCCGCCCAGGAAGCCCTGGAGGACCGCCTGGAGCGGATTAACCGCGAGCTGGGCTCGGTGCGCATGACGCTGAAGAAGTTCCACGTCCTGCGCTCCTCCGCGCACCTCCGCCCCGTGTAGCCATTAAACAAGCCGCTTCGTGTGCATTGACGTGTAATTACGTCCTCGGGAAGGCGGAGCGTTTTCTATTGTTTCTAGCCCTTCCCACCGTAATTTTACAATCATGACACTCACTCTTTTATACTTCTGATGGCCACATATTTCCAAGATATTTTTGTTATGCTCAGGAATCTTGTATATTTTACTATTTAAAAAATGTTATTTTTAAATAGTATATATCTCCAGTTTATATCAGGAATAAGGAAGTGTGACCATGGGAGGCTGCTGGTCTCTAAACAAATAGTGTTCATCCTTTCACAGTACCTGCGCACCAGTTTTATAAATTTGTTTGACATTGTGAATATGATTTTTTTAATTTTAAATAAATGCTTCAGAACAGTTTTCATCATGGTAGGCTAATCCACGCTGAATGCAAAAGAAATTACAGCACACTCTGGATTTAGTTGTTCTGAGCTTTTAAAAGCACTAATGCAATTCCTGTCTGACACATTTGTCTTAGAGTGAATATTAGATTAGTCATAACAGCAATATCAGCAATAATGGAACGCTGGAAAGCTTTCAAAACTGCATGGATAACTCACTCATTTTGTTTCCCTTAAACTCTATTATTTGTAAGGAAAGAAAACAGATGTAATTTTCTAATTTTGTCATATATAATGCTTTTCAGAGAAAGTTAAACGGAGGGCTGTAGCTCTCTGCCCAACATTCTGAATGTAACTTGTGTCCCGCCCTTGACGGTCAGTGATAGATAAGCTTTGATGAAGTTCAGGGACCACCCAGTGAGGCTGAACAGGGAGCCCCTTTCCTCCATTCCCTGGGCACAGGTGCCAGTCATCCTGCATAGATTTGACCCCTCCACCCCGCCCTGCCAAAAAGAAAAAGGACTCCCCTGGTGGCTGCTGTGAGGGCGCCAGGCTAGTCAGAGCAGCCTCTGGGAGCAGAAGGGAGTGTGTGAATGGCTCCAGCTCCGCCAGGCGGGACCTGGCGCCCAGGAGCAGCTTGTGGGCAGGAGCCTAGGCTCTGACCAGCAGCACTGGCAACTATGCGTCCTGACGGCCGGTCAAGTCCAGGCTGCTCAGCTGCCCTCTTTTCAGTGGCCAGTCCGAACCCCATGCCCACATGTTCACACTCGATTCCTGTCTGTACAGACTCACTCCAAGCTTTCATAGTCTAGTTCTTAAAAATGCTCAGGTATTAGACTTTGGTTTACTTCTGAGCTGCTTCTCCGCCTCATCTGGCTCTTGGTAGCAATTACTAGTTATAAAGCACCAAGCCCCTCCGTTAGGGTGTATGGCTGCCCTCGGGCAAGGATCTCAAGTTCCCTCTGAGCACCCACTCCTGCACCAGGTAAAGACCAGCTACTCAGAATCCCTCAGTAACAGAATAAGTGCCTTTTGAAAAGCAAATCAGCTCTACATGGGCTCGCCCCCTCGTACCCCTTCAGTAGCTGTCAGACTGGGCAGCAGGGGACGGGCCTGGCAGACCGGGCCACACCGGGTGCTTGCCTCAGAGCTAGTGGTGGAACGAGACTTCCGTTCCGGGAGAGTTCTGTCAAGTGCCTAGTGCTTGGTGTGTATTCAGTAAATAGCACATTTCAGCTTCGTCCGGAATGAAATGGGCCTTTCAAGTGGCTGTTGGGCACGTTTTAAAATAGAAAAAGAGATTGTGTTCTAAGCATTTGACTTAAAAACTCCCTGGGATTGGTTGACGTCTCCATGAGGTGGTCCAAGATGTTCTCTCGACCTCTTAGCAAAAAAAGAAAAAGAAAAAAGAGGTTTCATGGAGTTTAAATGAGATTTCCTTTGGTATGTGATTTTTTTTAAATCACTAATAAACTTGATAAGCTGTTAGGTGTAAGATTAAAGAAAGCACTTTTTCTTTGGTGCCTTGAGGGTTATTTGATATAAATATAGGCTGTTTAAAAAAAAAAAAATGCCAATGTAATGAAACTCATGGTCCTTGGAGTGCTCCATAATGCGACATCTCAAGGTGATGGCCAGCAAGGCAGGGCCACTGCGTGTCAGGTGAATGAATGAAGACTTATTTACACTCCCCTTTTTAATGTAGAAAAGCCAGGTGCTTTGCTGAATGTTGTTTGAATTCTGAACTCTGCACTGATATATGTAATAAAATTCAACATTTTAGATATTTCAAATGTTTTTCATTAAATTTTAACATGCTGTGAGTCTATAAGAAGCTTTAAAAAACAAATGTGTACCCAGAGCTCTTTAGGGGTCAGAGGTAAACCCCGCTTAGGAGCTCTCAAGGGGTCGTGAGATTCGCAGGGTCCGAAGGAACCGATTGTACTGCACAGACTTTGCAGACGTTTGATAACAGGTCAAACTACACCAGTGTTCCAAGCTCTTCTCTTCCCGTCTGTGTTTTTATTCCCATAGACCCCTTTCACAGAGGAGGAATCAAGCCATACGTTTGCACTGGCTGGACATTGTGTACCGGGTCACCACTTGGACTGCAGACTTCAGAGATAATTATGTTTTACTCACAATTTCACTGTAACAGTGATGAATAACGAGGAAGACTCTCTTCACAGAGTGCCACTGACAGACAAAGCCATGTGCTCATTGCAGCTGCTGTTAAATGTCATCCGACATTGGAGGGATGAAATTGTAAGCTCCGCGAGAGCAGACACCGTCTCTTCCTTCTTGCAAACAGGCACTCAATAAATATTTGTGGAAATGAACTATCTGGTGATATTACTGTATGTATTCACTATGGGGTGTATGTATAACTATGGGGTGAAAATATATATTTTTCAAAGAGAAAGGGAGAGGAAGAGAAACATCAATGATGAGAGAATCATTGATTGGCTGCCTCCTGCAATGCAGGCATATGCCCTGACTGGGAATCGAACCAGCCCAAGGTCTGATTTTTAATGGTGTTAAGTTCTCTGAGTTACTGCCAGTGAGAGAGCAATCATGGCAGGGTCCGGGTGACACTTGTCCAGGTGCTCGGTTCCAACTGACTGACTGACAGAGGCCTCACACAGACCTGTGTGCTCCGGAAGCTCTTCCCTGGGCCTTAGCCGGAAGGAGCTGAGGGTTTGGGATTTGCTGGGACACCTTCACTTGTCTCTGAACATCTTCACACCAGAGCTTTGGGCCGAGTTGTGTCTCAGTGGCTTTCCTGGCCTGTTCCGTCTCCAATTCCGATGACAGTCACTGGGCGGATGAAGAGCCTTGGTGGTTTGCCTTCATCTGAATTCATGTTGGCCTCCTTGAACTCTAGCCTGACAGGGACAGATGTCATCGTCAGAAACATGCAAACCTGAGAAGAATTTTTGTGAGTTTATTTGAGCCTGTCAACAACAGCTGGGAAGCAAAAACACATTGAGATAGTGCTCCAGAGAATGGTATTTTTGCACCTTGTTTTACACTTTATAATCAAAATAGGAGGCGTATGTGGGCTACATGAAATCCGTTGGTGATAGATTAGGGAGGAGGGAGAAAGCAAAACGGAAACCTCTGGGATTAAATAAAAAGTAAAATGATAAGACACTTCTTTTACTAGGTGGGTGCAAAGTAGTTGACAGTGATGAACTCATTGACAATGAGAGTGTTGCCTGTTTGGAGGGGTCCAGAAAAAGGAAAACTCTTTGACATTCCAATGAAATTTATTGCAGATGCAAAAAGACGACAGGCTCACATAGGTAAAGATGAACCTTCTTCAGGGAAGATGCCGACCTGAGACATGACTATCCACCATAAACTGCTTTTAGTTAAACAAGTGGTTGTGTCAACCTATGAACCAGGAGGTCACTGTTCAGTTCCCTGTCAGGGCACACGCCTGGGTTGTGGGCTGATCCCCAGTGTGAATCGTGCAGGAGGCATTCCAATCCACGATTCTCTCTCATCATGGATGTTTCTACGAAATCAACAAAAATACATAAATATATTTTTTTAAAGTTTTAACCTCACACCATCCTTTGAGGTTACTCAGGTCTCTGAGTTTGCAAGGCCGCCCGCCACACAGGCCCGCACATAGGCCCAGGGCTGCTGGGCTGTAGGTGTGTCCTGCCCAATGCCATTACCTCAGCTCCTGGCCACCAGGTGTGTGTGTGTCCCCCTGCCAATCCCCACACCATCACGTCCCTTCCATCTCACCAGGCCCCCTCCCCAACTGAGGGCCCCCGCAGGCGATGCAGCTGTGTCTGACCCGCTCCCAGTTCCCTCTGGAGCTGGGGCTGAGCCTCGGGCTGCCCTCCGCCCCCAGAACCCCCGCAGCTCCTGCATTCCCCCCCCCCCCCTTTTGTTTGTCTAGGACACACTGGGTGCCATGTCTGAGTCTGTGCGGCTGCCCGCGGCCCCCACACCCAGGCCCCTCACTGCCTATGGAGCTGCGGTCCGGCTCGCCCGCAGCGTCCTCGCTGCCTGTGGGGCCCGGGGCCGTGTGCTCCCCGGGTCTGTCCTTCCTCTCCGGCGGATCACGGTCGTCGCGATGTCCTTTTACGCCCGCGTTGTTTTGGCTGTGGAGTGACAGCCCGCGGTTCCCCTCCCCGGGGCCCTCGGCGAGGCCCGGCAGACGCGGCTGAGGGGTGAGTCTGCGCTCCAGGCCGGGCCCGGGGCCGGGCCCGGGGCCCGCGGGCCGCGCCGGCTGAGCGCGCGGAGCCCCCGCGGCCGGTCCTTCCGGCGGAGGCGCCGCTCCCCGCGCGGCCTGAGGAGGCGCCGCGCCGCCGCCTGAGGGAATGCGCCGGCCGAGAGCTGTCCAGCCGCCCGCCGCCCGGAGCGCAGAGCCCGCCGCCCGCACGTGCGCCGCCCCGCCCGCCCGCCCGCCCGCCCGCCCGCCGCCGGCGGCACATGCCCGGGGCCCGGCCGCGCGCGCGGGGGCCGCTGGCGGCGGCGGCGAAGGCGCGCGGAGCCGCGGGGCGCAGGCGGGGGCCTGGCCGGGGCCGCGGGGCCGGCGCCTCCCCGGCGGCGTGAGCGGCCCGGCGCGGCCGGAGGGGACGGAGCGACGCCGCCGAGCGGGTGAGTGTGTCCGCCGCCCGCGGGGACCCCGAGCGCCGGCCGCCCGCGCGGGGAGAGGCCCGGCCCGGCCCGGCCGCCCGGCGGGAGGGGAGGGTGTGGCGGGCGCGCGGGACCCCGGCCCCCGGGCTCCCGTGCCCTCTCCGTCGGGGGCGGCCGGGTGCAGACTCCCCTCCCCCAGGGTCCGGGCAGGTGCGTGCGGCGCGGGGCCTGGAGGAGGCGGCGGGAGAGCCCCCGCCCGGCCCGCCGCTCCCCCTCCCGCCCTGGGCTCGGCGGTGGTGTGGGGCCTGGACCTAGAGGAGCGCCCCCTTGTCCCTCCTCCTCCCCCCTCCCCGGGGCTGGCGGGCTGACTGCCCCATTCCCACCCCTGCTGCAGCCCGAGCTGCCCGGAGCCCCACCCTCGCCCCTTCCTCCCGGGCCCGGCCCAGGGGACGAGAGGGAAACTTCGGCGCTCATCCCCCCCGGACACCCACTGGACCTCCGAGTAAACACCGTGGGCTCGCTGCTCAGACCTCACCACCGCAAGCTCCCCAGCTTCGTCCCCCCTCAGGGACTGGGGGTCCCTGCACAGACATCTGGGGCCCTCCTCTGCACCCCTGTCCCTCCCTCCCTCCCTCCCTCCGGAGTGCGGGCTGGGCGGCTCCCCAGCCTCCGGCCTGCTTCCTCTCCCCACCCCGAGTCCTCAGAGGCCTCCCATCTGCATCTCCCCCCAACGCCCTGTCTGCTCTCCCTCCCGCTGGGCTGTGTCCCAGGCCATTGTTTCTCCGGTTGGATGGGGACCGTGGAGGCTGGTGTGTCTTCCTGTGGACTGAGCTCCATGGAGACAGGTGTTTCATTCATCCCCGTCCCGCCCCGGGCCAGCGCGGCGCCCAGCCAGCGGCCGGATGGAGCAGGCCCCTCCCGGCTTCCCCACCGGGGCCAGGGCCGGGGCCGGGCCGGGCGGCTAGCAGCCGCTGGCCCCCTTGTGTTCTGTGAGGAGCCTGGGTGCCGAGCTGGGGAGCTGGGCAGCCCTCTCCTCTCCCTCCTTTCCCGGGGGGGACGGCAGGGAGGGAGGCAGGGCTGCGTTTCCTGCAGGGAGCGACCTGCCAGAGGACAGAGAACGGGGACAGGACATGCTCTGCCGGAGGCCGCACAGGCCCTGGTCCCCGGGGCGGGACGGGCGGAGCGGGCCTTCTCTCTGTCCGCGTGGCAGGCGGAGGGGAGAGGCCGGGGCTGTGGGAGTCGGGGTGCCAGGCCTGGCTGTTCCTGACGTCTGTACAAGCTGCACTGTCACTTGCTCACTTGCTTTCTCTCTCCTCTTTTTTTATTTTTGTTGTTGTTAATCCTCACCTGAGGATATTTTTCCCGTTGAATTTTAGAAAGAGTGGAAGGGAGGGAGGAGGAGGGGGGGAGGAAGAGAGAGGCAGCGAGAGAAACATTGATGTGAGAAAGACATATGGATGGGTTGCTTCCTACATGCAGCCCGACCAGGGCTGGGAATGAACTTGCCCTTGACCGGGAATTGAACCCATGGCCCTGTGGTGCATGGGGCAGTGCCCTCACCACGGAGCACACTAGCCAAGGCCCTCGGTTTCTCTGGGTCTTGGTTGGCCCTTCAGAATCTGGGCCCCGCCCCTCCCCCTTATCAGCGTGTCATCAGAGTGCCTCCCTCCACCCTCTGCCCCTAATTCCATTTCCAAGCAGAATGGCAGTTAGGGCCTCCCCGTGAGCCTGGGACTCCAGGGGGTCGGTGCCCAGTCACGTTTTTCTGCACCCACTGTGGCCTGGCCCGTGGTGGGCGTAATGGGCGCTCAGGAGAGTGTCTGTCAGCTACCTGGTGGGGGGTGTGCCCCGGAGGGTAAGGGGAGGGGAGGGCGGCTCTGGCCTCCCCTCACCCCCACCGGGGGCCTGTGTTAACACCAGACAGGTGGTCCCGGAACCCTCCCATCCGGTGAAGCCCCTGACTCGGCCTCGAGGAAATCACAAGAGGAAGCTTCTGCTGCCTCAAGATCCTGCTTTCGGGACCGCACGCCCCGTTCGGCAGGGGCAGCCCTCCCGTTCCCCGTGGCCGTGGGCAGGCCAGGCCGTCAGTGCCATGTGATGGCCTGGCTTCCCCACCATCAGCCCTTTGCGGGAACATGCTTATGGGACCCCCGGCCCCGGCCCCGCCCGGAGGTGGTGGTGGTGGTGGCTCAGCGCTCCGAGGTGGTCCCAGCCGTGGATTAAGTGCTTCCTGGCACCTGGGGTGCCGTCAGAGAGAACCAGGCCTCGGAGTTCGCCCTGACCCCCGGGCATTGGGCCCTGTGCGCGAGGCTCTGACGGTCTCCTGTGGAAGACTCACTTTGGCGTTAGGGGGGCTGGGCTGCTTCCTCGGAGGAGGAAAGAAAGCCGCTGTCATCTGTCCCGCGCACAGGGCGTGTGTGTGTGTGTGGCCGGCCCCACGTGCCCTGCCCACGTGCCCTGCGGGGTAGGCAGGAGTCCTCCCCCGGGTCCCGGAGGTGGGAGTTGAGACACACAGGGAGGTGAATTGATTCCCCCAAAGCCTGTCTGGGTTTGTACCCATCCCACCCCACCCCACTCCACCTTACCCTACCCCATCCCACCCCACCCTTCCCCACCCTACTCTACCCCATCCCACCCTACCCCACCCCACCCCATCCCACCCTACCCCACCCCACCCTACCCTACCCCACCCCACCCTACCCTATTCCACCCCACCCCACCCTACCCCATCTCACCCTCCCCCACCCCACCTTACCCTACTCCACCCCACCCCACCCCACCCCACCCCACGCTCCTTTCTGACCTCTCGGTCACCTCCTCCCCCTGGCGGGCAGGTGCTCAGTGTCCAGCCAGATATTCCATTTAGCAACTGTATTCACTTACCCTCACGGCCAGCCTGCCCACTTCTCCTCCCCTGCACTGTCTGTGTGTGTGTGTGTGTGTGTGTGTGTGTGTGTGTGTGTGTAGAGCTGCCTGTCTGTGTTCTTTACCAGTCCCCACAAAAGACTTCTGGAGAACCGGACAGACACGCACATTAGATCTGATAAGGGACGCGGCACCTACGGGGCCGGCCGGCTCGCCGCATGGGCGGGCGGGTGTGTGCTCAGTGCTGAGTTCAGACGCGGAGACACCCTTTCTGGGAAAGGCAGTCAGGGCTGACTTCCTGGAAGAGGCCTCGAGGAATGGGTGGACGTGTGACAGCCAGAGCTCCTGGGAAGGGTGTAGGGGTTCGAGTCTGAAATCTGAGTTTATGGCCAAGTCCCCCCATCAGAACAGGTCTTTTTTGGGGGGAAAGGAGAGAACTGGTCGGGGGGGGGGGGGGTAGAATGGGAAGCCTGGTGACGCCTTTTCAGATCCTCTGCTGTCCTGAGGGAGAGCCTGGAGGCACTGGAATCGGAGGGGGGGCTGCACCCCACTGGGGAGGGTGAGAAGCTGAGGCCAGCGGAGGAGGAGGGAGCTGCCCTTCAGCCTGGAACCCGGGGCCCTAATTGCCAGCTCGGGCCGAAGTGGGCAGTAGCCCTGTCCATTGCCCCCCTTCCAGCCCCCTGTTTGAGGTCCTGCCTTCCTCACTGAGCTCAGCCCGGCAAACACATTGACAAACCCCTGCCTGTTGGGAGGAGATGGCGTTTGCTTTCGGTGCTGATGTTAGCCGCCCCCCCCCGCCCCCTCCCCCCGCCTTTCCCCGGGGGAGGGGCCGGGAGTCGGGCGGCCGGTGGCCCCCAGAGCAGACCCCCAGGGAGGACAGCCAGCCTTGTCCCTCACGGCGGCTCTGTTCCGCAAAGGGCCACGGACCCCGAGTGCGTGAGCCCCGGGCCCGCGCTCCCAGCGGGAACTGGGGGTGCGGGTCCCGTGACTTCGTCGGCACTCCCTGTTTGTCCGCCTGTGTGACGTGCTCCTGTGAGACGACGCCTTACTGTAGGGGTGTCGAACTCAATCAGAGAAGGGGCCAAAATCTAAAATCCAGCCTAAATCGCGGGCCGAATGGTTTACTGAACAGTCATAAACTGTCATTGTGATGGAAACGCAGCGGAGTGCAGTGATGACAGCGCAGTGCGGGCCACATTGCAAGGCCTGGCGGGACGGATTTGGCCCGCGGGCCTCGTGTTTGACACATGTGCCTTACTGAGTAGACCCTGTTGGTTCACGGACATCGATCGCGGCCAGCAGCGCCATCACGCACGCAGCCGAGCGAAGCTCCTCGAACACGCACGCTTTCTCCAAAAGATACGTCGCAGCACAGCCACCCTGTGCTCAGGGACCCCCGATGGCATGCGGGGCCATTTTAAACTTATTTTTATTGATTTCAGAGAGAGGAAGGAAGAGAGAGACAGACAGGCAGACAGAGAAACATCAGTGATTAGAGAGAATCATCCATCGGCTGCCTCCTGCACGCCCCACCCTGGGGATCAAGCCTGCACCCCGGCCAGGTGCCATGACCGGGAATTGAACCCTGATCTCTCCTGGTTCATGGGTCAGCGCTCAACCACGGAGCCACACCGGCCATGCACTGCACGAGGGCCATCTTAAACGGTGAAACTACCCAACAAAACCCCCACCAAAGTGTGAAAACCGTGGCACTCGGCAGACAGTGTGAGCTGGAACAAGCAGGGTCCCCGGTTCCACCTCCGCGGGGAACGTGTCCCCGAGGTGACTCAGCATTTCTCCTCCCCGCGGACGACCTCCGAGGCGCCCGGAGCTGGGCCCGGGGTTACGGAGCGTTTCAGCGAGTCAGCGCCTTGGAAACTGGGATCTGAGTCGTGAGGATGGGCCCTGCACAGAGCTTCCTCGCGCCCCTTTAAAAGCTGTCTGGTTTGGCGCACGCAGCCCCCGAGTCGGGGACCGGCGAGCCGCTCCGAGGGGCGCAGTGACCTGCGTTAGTGACCTGAGCTTGCACAGGGCCCGGGCCGAGCCGGGACTCGCACCCGTCGCGGATGGGTTCCAGCCTGAGCTCCCCCGGCGGTGCGCTTGTGGTAGAGTCTTCCCTCCTCCTGTCTCCCAGGGCGGGGGTGCGTCTGCCTCCT